CTTTGTTGATATTTCTTTGTTATTAATGAATCCTCTATTTAGTGCTTGGAATAGTTTTCCTGTGTTTTCCATTCTGTTGTTAAGATCGTCCTAGATGTCTCCTTTGTTGTTAATTACTGTTCCCAAGTATCTGTATGAATTTGTCTGTATTTATTTTTCTTGGTCTATCGTTATTTCATTATTTCTATTTGATCTTCCGTCCCTTGTTTCCTTGATATTTTCATTAATTGAGTCTTATCTTTGTTCACGTTTAAGTTGTATTTGCTTGCTTCTTTGTTTCATTTTTTTAAGTTGTATTTCAGTTTTTCTGCTGTTTCCGTAATTAATGATATGTCGTCTGCAAATAATATCTGTTTCAATTGATGCCGTATTTCTTGAATGTTTTCTTACATTTTTTCACTATCTCATCTACTACATTTATGAATAGCAGTGGGCTGAGACTTCCCCCTTTTTTAACTCATTGAGTTGTTTCAAATGGTTCTGACTGTATATTTGACATTCTTACTGTGTTTGTTGTTTTCATCTTTTATAAGTTCTTCACTTACTTGCTTCTTTTTATTCATAATATCGTCCAATAACTTCCAATAAGCTTGGATAGATTTGAAGGTTTCTAGACCATCTTTACAACCAAATTCTGGGCCTTTTTTTATATACGAATTTGTAGCAGTAAGCATATTGTAAGCATATATTATTAATTAAAATTAACATTTTCAGAACTTTTATTTGTCCGTTTTTTCAAATCTATTTTTTTAATGATTGATTTTTGTAGTGTTGTTGTTAATCGGAAGTGGAAAAATGAAAAACCTTTATCTAACACTATACAAATTAAATATTATTTTCTGGCAAAATATAACATTGCAATCGGTACGTTTTAGTAAACAATTAAGCTGAAAATAGAATTAAGCTTATAGCTTTTTGTACAAAAAAAAATGTCGAAACAAAAATTCATTCTATGGTAACAGAAAGGTATGGCATTACTGAAACAAGAAGTTGAACTATTAGCGAAATTAACTTATAGGTCAGTTAAGATATTTGCACATATATGTTGAATATCACATACCAATTGTGATTTTATAGCTCCCACTAGAGGTATAAAATTACATTTTAATACATTTTTACCTTTTACTGTAATTATAATGGAGAATGAAAGAACTTTAAGCGCTACTTAAGATTTAAGAGCAAATTGGTTTCAACCATAAAATATTCACCTAAAAGATTGTAAAATTATTTAATATTCTCTTTAGTTATTACGGTCAGTCACATTCAATCCTAATTTATTGATTCTTAATTTTTTATGTTTATTATGAAACACTTGATTATTTTTAGAACACGTATCTATTGCAATCCGTTTAACAAATTAATTTGTATCGGTAGTTGATGGTCCGTGAAATGTGTTCTGGGAAAGGCCAGATGGAAGAAGGTCTGTAGGGCGGCCTAGAAAAAGGTGGAAAGATGCAGTCAGAGAAGATCTAGAGAAGATGGGTGTGCGACAATGGGAATTACTGGCTCAGGACCGACAAACATGGAAGGCAATAGTAAACGCGGCAAAGACTCACAAAGAGTTGTAGCGCCATTGATGATGATGATGAGTTGGTCGTCCGCGAACAGAAAAAAGTATATTGTGTCGTATGTAGTCAGTCATCCTTTACTCAGTCCCAGTCTATATATATCCCCATGTATTTAGAGGATTATATCAGAGGAAGTCTTGTCGGTGATTATCGGTTGTGTTTCCTTACATATTTTGGCGCGTCAAAGAGAACGGTTGTTTTGACATAGGGATCGGAACACCAAAGAAAATGTCGTTGATCCCGGACCTGAAAAGCTGTATATTTTTCTTCTTCTACGGGACTAGAGCCCAAATTGAGCCTTGCCCTGCTTAATTTTTTTCCTCCGCCCTTGCTTGTCTGTGCAGTTCTAGCGTCCTTAGCTCATTTGCGACTTCTTCGAACTTCTCTTTACATTCCTGAATTTAATTTTTCCAGGTCCAGTTTGTTTGTTCTTTGTTGTCTTTCGTTTCTTTCTTTGTTAACTCTGCATCTAAATTTGGTTTGGAGTAAAAGAAGGTCTGATCCACAGCATACTCTTCATCATGTTCTCACATCTGAGATACACTGGCTCCCCTTTTGTCTAGCACATGGTCGATTTGATCGGTTGCGGTTCCATCTGGTGAAATCCATGTCATTTTGTGTATGTCTTTACATGGGAAGCACGTGGAACTTATACCCATGTTTTTACTGGTGGCAAAGTTTATCAAAAATTCCCCATTCTCGCTTCTTTTATTGTGCAGTGGGTGTTTACCTGATGTTCCATAGAACTGCAGCTCCTTGCCTATTTTAGCATTCATATCGTGGCAGTCGTAGCTCAGTGGCTATGTTAGAGGCTTAACAAATTATAGGGTCCGGGTTTGTATCCCGGCACCGACAAAATTTTCAATTTCTAATTAAACTGAGCTGCCACCGTGCTTCGGAGGGCACGTAAAGCCATCGGTCCCGGCTACGAAAGTAATCGTTAAGTTAAACGACCTGAAAACTCTAAGATTAGACCTTAGCCAGAAGGTTACACGAACTTTACTTTCTTTTTTAGCATTCATATCACCCATTATAATCCTGATGTCATTTTTGGGAGCATTGTCATATACTATCTCCAGCTTTTGGTAAAAGCTTTCCTTTGTATCTTGTTCTTGTTCTTCTGTTGGGCAGTGAATGTTTATCAGTGTTAGGTTGAAGAAGTGGGTACAGATTCTTGACTTGCATATCCTTTCGCTGACTGCCTGGAAATCTATGATTTTTGACTTGAAATCATTATCCACCACAAATGCAACTCCACATTCTTTGCTTCCTTGTTCCTTCTTTCCAACTATATAGAATTGTGTGCGTCTTTCCCCAGCCATTTTGTTTCCTGAAGAGCAGTAATCATGAGCTTATATCTTTTTAGTTCTTGCAGAAGTGCGCTTTGAGCTAGCGGTCTATTTAGTGTCTGCACATTTCAGTTTCCAAATGTATAGTCTATGTTTCGTAACTTGAGTCGTTTCCGAAAGTTTCTTTCTGTATTCCAAGGCAAGTGTTCGTAACACTGTGCTTTCTTCCGGGAGTGGGTTGTCAGCCCACTGCCCAACCTTAAGACCGGCAGTCATGACTCCAGAGCTACTCGATCTACCCATTTGTCACCATACTGTAGCCAAAACCACAGGTGTATAGATTATTAACTGAGGCATGTTCGTCATGGTTGATTCTGTGTCTACCTTTACGGGTTCAGGAGGGCAGAATCTGCCAAATGTCTTTACTTCGACGATTTGAACACTTTGATACATGTGTACAATGAGCAGGTGAGAAATAAACTTGAGAGATAATGTGAGATAAGGTTCAAAACTGTGAGGCAAATGATGGAAAGAATAGTATCGGATAAAATCTGATGGAATGTTATCAGATATATAGGGACGGTGCTGTCGAAGAAAGTCGAAGATAAACAGCTAATTAAACGACAATAGCAACTGCATACGGCTGAAATTTGGAAAGGTTCAGATTAAGATGTATATATTAAGATGCGAACTGAGAACGAAAGAGTGAGATGACTGAAAACGAAAGAACTCGCTTAAGTCCACTGGTCGCTGTGTTGTGTGAAAAAGAATTTGAAGCAACGAATAGAATCGAAGCAAAAGCATATATAGAGGTCGAGTATGCATCAAGACGATGAAATGTCTACTAGTGATAAAAAATGATTAAGTTAAATTAGGTTAAGTTGGAATTGGTTAAATAAAACAAAAATAGAAATCTATCTGACATCATTTTTGCTACAGCATACCCATAATTTTTACATACTCCCACACATGTGGAAGCCAAATTGCCTATACAGATTAAAGCTATGTGCTAATTGTCTTTATCAAGATATCTATCTAGTCACAAAAGTTTATGCAGATTCGTAATTAGATTAACCAGAGGTAAATCTCAAGAGGTAAATATTTACAGCGAAAAAGAAAGTAATATTTGGACTCAGCATCCTTAATTTTTTTAAAGTGAGAATTTTAAGAAATTCTTCTCTACATTCTTAAATAGATTTATCCCTCCTATTTTGGTAATACCATAACGTTAAACAACTGTATTACAAATTGCTATGGCAATAAATAACTGATATAAAAAAATATGGAATAATTTTATAGTAATAATAATACAAGTGTAAGAAATCCGTCAAAGTATTTATATCCGCAAATATAACCAATAAATCACTAACATTCTCGGTTGCATATTAACACAATTATGGAAATCAGTAAATAATGCATTACACAATATTTATTTATTATTACATATAAAACACCGTTAAGGTAATCAACTTCCTTTTTAATTAATTCTATTTTGTGATACAAAGAATAAACATATTATGTTATTCAAGTTTAACATATATCAACACTACCTATTCTTATACAAATTTATTCAAATATATTTTATTTAAATCGTATTTTATATTATATATTTATTTATACACTTATATATATATATATACATGTATAATCTTACACCGTGAGAATTATAACACTAGGAACGAAAATATCTTTAACTTACTGTAAAAGAAATTAGGCCAGCTTCGTCATGAGACTTATGGTAGCTTGAATTGAAGTAAAATGACTGCTACTAACCTACACAGGCATGATATGTTTCTATAACGGCTATATAGACAAACAGCATTTCATTTCAATTCAAACTACCGCAAGTCTCCTTGACGAGAGTTGAAACCTCGAAATACGTGTAGGAGAATGAGAAAGCTCGAAATAAAAAAGAAATACAATTATTTCAGCAATAAAAACGAGTGCTTTAAAGTGAGTGTCTTTTGGTTTGAGCTAAGCGTATCCACATTCTTCGGAACTATGCTAGAATGTCGTTCGCTGTCCGTTCCAAACGTTGGCGATTATTCTGGCTATTTTGACAGTTTGTTGCTATACTGAATAGCTCTGTTGATGTTTTTCTATATCATGCTCTCAGCTTAGCAAGTCAGGATATCCTTCTTTGTCCTGGGGCCACTTTTCCTTTAATTTTACCTTGCAAAATGCATTGGAGTTGCTCATATCTGCCTTGATTTCTTCACGATGCCCTTCACGATGTTGACCAAATCCGCGGTTGTGTTCATCCTCCGTAGTACTTCTTCATTGCTGACTTTGTCTATACATGGCATCTTCAGGATCCTTTTGTATAACCATAGCTCAAAAGCCTGAAGTTTTGATAGAGTTTCCGTCTTTAATTCTCACGTTTCTACTCCGTACAGGAGCACTGAGTACACGTAACATGTAATGAGTCTTATTTTTGTTCACATTTTGCCTACCCAATGCAACATTTAATCTCTTGGATATTGTCCCACGACTTATTCATTATAGTTTCCAAGTAGTTGTATTGTGAGACACGTTCAATTCTTATTTGGTTCACATACAGATTTGCGCCAGTTATGTTTTCCTTGCTGATGATCATTAGCTTGGTTTTGCTGATATTTATATCCAGTCCTTATTTCCGTTATTTTTTTTATTAAGTTTTGGAGCCTTTATGTTGTATTGGAAAACACTATTGTATCATCTGCATACCGCAGGTTATTAAGCTTGACTTCATTTATTGAGATGTCTCTATCAATATCTTTTAGCGGCTCTTCAAAAATGTACTGAGAGTACAGATTAAATATCAGTGGTGAAAATATGCACCCTTGTCTCACTCCCCTCAAGATATTGACATGATCAATATATTCTCCATCTATTCTGAACACCGGTGATTGATTCCAATACAGGTTAGCTATTATTTTTAGGTCTCTTCCGTCAATCTCTGTCCGCTTCAGAACTTCCATCTATTCTTTATGTCTCACTATATCGAAAACCTTCTTGTAGTCAATCAGGCATGCAAAACATGACAGCTGCTATCTCTACATTTCTGAAACAATATCTGCACGCTAAATAAAGCTTTCCTCGTAGCAACGGCGTTCACAAGCCCAAACTGATTGGTCGCTATTTGTTCCTCGCATTTCCGGTAAATTATTTTGTGGATGACTTTTAAAAACAGCTTCATTAGACTATCCTTAACCGCTGGTAATAAGGTCTTGCTGTGCAGCGTTTAATATCGTAGAGATGTTAATATTTTTGATACAGGGTGGTTTTTATTTACTGCGATGGATATGGCATGAGTAAGTTTGAGGAGTGTACGTTTATGTTTAAGGATTATTCTCTGCATTTGCTTTATAAACGTTATGTATGTGGTCAAGTGATTTTAACATTGTTTTGGTTGCGGATGAAAAAGCAATTGAACCGTAGTAGATTTATGATCTAGTAAGAGATTTATAAATCATAATCAACTTGAAGTAATCTGAAACCTCAATCGTGGTTTGAAAGAGTTTTTAATGGATTAAGTCTTTTACTACAAGTTAGAATGAGGTTATTGATGTATTTTTTCCAGTTAAGTTTTTGGTCGAACCACATACCTAGTAATTTTAATAATGGTTTCGTGTGTATTTGCTAATGTTTTCTTGGAAAATATTATTCCAATGTTCCGATGGTTTCTGAGACTGAAAATTCGAAACCAATGATTAGCGAACATATTTCTAATTGATTGAGGAATATCTGCGGAATTGAGGACATATAAGTTTCTTTGATAAAGACTACTAGATCGTTGGCATATAAGCGAGCTTACTGAGGAGTATCATTATCCTCATCATTATTATTGGAAAAACAGTTAAGTAGGACTTACTTTTGTTTGAAAAGTTCTTAGTTGTATAAAGTTTTGGATCTAAGCTAAAATATGACATCTGATATTCCCGGAGTAGCTTCTCTCCAACATCTATTGAATGCTCGTCTTAGGTCAAATAGCAAACGCGTCATGAATTTCAAGGTCAAGGATATTGTTCATTGATATTGTTCAAATCGGAATGCTGCAACATAACACTAAAAATGACAAATAATTATAAATGTATTATCAATAATCATGAATATGATCATAAACTATATAGAAAATTTAAAAAAAATATATAAAAGTGTTGCGATACTTTTAACCAGAGAATTGAATGGTGGGTCGTAACAATGTTGTATGAGAGCATTTTTCAATCTGGCTAAAAACATTTTGCCTTCCCTGAGTTTTTCGTACCGCAATGTTGCTATCCGTGCAAAAACGTTGTATATACGTCATTGTCATCAAGTATCACTGTAAAATTGTTATTGTTATCATGTTGCTATTGTTATCATGTATCACTGTAAAAAGGAGGTTAACGTGTCGCTGTCTACCCTTTTGCACATAATTAGAGGGAAAAAGCGCAAAATCAGTAATAATCAGTGAAATAGAAATGCAGGTGAACCATATGTATCTACTAGAAACGAGAATGTACCAGCAATACCCCTGTAACGATAAGTATTTTGCCTACCACAGGGGCATTAATACGGGAGATAGAAAATTGGGGGAAAAACTATTGGGGTGGAGATAGGGCAAGCAAAATAATCGCTACTTATGCGAACGGCACTCAGGGTTTCGTAGGAGAGCTGGGGTCGTGGATAAGTAAAAGATAAGGACATTGGAATGGGGCAACTACAAAAAAAAATGAAATAAAGGGCTCTTGGGATAAACAAAATAAAAATAAACAGAAAACACCTCAAGGAATTTAATATAGGGCGCCACTTGAGGTGCCTAATTATGCCTATTACAACCACTAGTTGTAACTAGGGAAATAATTAGAAAACAAAATCAAAACATAAAAAAACATATCTTTTTCAAATAAACTCGAAAGGGTTAGCTCAAAAAAAAAATAAAATGTTAAGACAACAAAATTTAACATTTATTTATGTGTCACCACAAACAGTTACATGGAAAAAAAACAAAACACAAAAACTTGGAGAAATACAAAATTCAAAAAACTTACATGTGTCATCCATTAACAAACTCCATTGCTACAAAACTTACAAAATTGCATGGAGGTTAACCTTTTAAAACAAAGCAAAACAAATCAACATCAAAAATACTAAAACGAGCTGTCATAAATTAACATTAAATTTCAAAAAACACAAACACAAATTGACAGCTTTACTCAAAACCTAAAATTTACAATTTTAAATATAACAATTCTTAAATTTTAACGAAAGCAATTATTTAATTCAAAACAAATTGTCTGTCTTTACTTTAAAATTTGATACAAAATGTTACCTTAATTCACATGATCACATATAACTTTCTGAAACCATAACTGGAACCTGGAACTGAGGGCTTCACTCTCTCTGCATGACGAAAACCTCCATCTCCAAAAAGCCTTGGATAAAAGCAGGAACAAAAGAAAAACAAAACGAGGATGTCCTCCAATCCTCACTCAAAACATTAATAATTGAAGCATTTACTGCCATAAAACAAATAACAAACTGCTACATTTTCTTCATAACAAAGGACGAAAACAGGATACTTTACAAATTCGACGTGAATTTGGACTGGCGTTGAACCGCTATTCAAAGCTGCTACAACGAGAGTGAAGAAATTATCTGTTAAAATTGAACGCATACATACAAACGCTGACATAGCAAGACACCACGAAACGACGTACATATCCTTTTGCGACGCAATAAATTTGAAAAGAATTTAAGTCTAAGAAAGAAAAGAGAAAATATTTGGGTTTAAATACGTACGAAATATTTTTATAGATCTATCAAAAATATATAAGGTGATTTTAATATTTCGTATACGAGGGGACTTTAATATACTTCAAAGAATCAATGAAATTGAAAATGCTACACCCCGTCTACCTGAGGTGAGTGCAACAATGTTGTATATTTTGTTAGAAAACGCATTTTTTGTATCCTTATCACTGTCGTTAGCTTTGTGTGTGCTAGATCTGTGCTTGTCCGTATTAAGTGTATGACTTGAAATTCGTCATCTTTCGATAATTTTGATAACTTTAAATAAGTATTTTTATATTTTAGGAGCGACTATGTAAGTGCAAATCTATTTGCAAGGCTACTAAAATTCAAGGCCAGTTAAGAGACTGATGAACTTAAGAGAACGGCAGTCCTTTCCTGCCGTTCTCTTAAGTTCGTCAGTCCATCTCATCTGTGGTCTTCCTCTTTTTCTTTTCTTTTTCCATTTTCTCCAGTGTAGAATTCGCTTATTCCATCTTTCATCTTTTTTCCGGAGAGTGTGACCGGCGAAGTTCCATTTAAGTTTTGCAACCTGTCTTGATACATCGTTCACCTTTGTTTTTTCTCTGATCCATGAGTTTCTTTTCCTGTCTTTAAGACCGATACCCAGCATCTGTGTTTCCATTGCTCTTTGTGTTTTGGATATCCTGTCGATGTTCTCCTTTGTGAAAGTCCATATTTGGGAGCCATATGTGATAACTGGTAAAATGCACTGATTGAATACTTTCGTTCTCATATATTGAGGGAACTTTTTATTTTTTAGAATATATGATAGTTTACCAAATGAGGCCCATGCTAGTCTAGTTCTTCTTTTTATTTCTTCTGTTTGATTGTCCCTGTTCAGCTTTATTATCTGTCCTAGGTATATGTATTCTGCCACCTGCTCTAATTTATTCTGTTTGACTACTATTTCTTATTGGTCTTCTTGGTTTGTCATAGTCTTGGTTTTACTATAGTTCATCTCTAGACCTACCTCTGTCGCTTTTCTATCTAGTTCCTCAACCATCTTCTGTAACTCTTCCTTCTTATCTGTTATCAGGACTATATCGTCTGCATATCTCAAGTGGTTCAAGAGCTCTCCATTTATTCTTATTCCGTATGTATCCCATTATAATTTTTTAAATATGTCTTCCATAGCCTGATTGAACAATTTTGGTAATATTGTGTCTCACTGCCTGATTCCTTTTTCGAATTTTATTGGTTCTGTAGCGTGTTCGTTCGTCAATTTTATTGTGGGACTCGCATTTTTGTATATACTTGTTATTAGGTCCGTGTACCTGTAATCAATACTGCCGTTCTGTAGTGAGATTTGATGGCCCAATGTTCTATGCTGTCAAACGCCTTTTGGAAGTCTATGAATGCCATGTATAATGGGATTTGATACTCGTTCGACTTTTCAATCAGTATTTTTACTGTTAGCAGATGGTCGCTAGTGCTAAAACCTTTCTGAATCCCGCTTGTTCTCTTGCTTGGTATTCGTCAAGCTTAATTGTTAGTCTATTTGTCATGATCTTCGTTAGTACTTTTTATTATCCAATACTTACTATCCAATATCTACTATCCAATTATCCACTAATTGGATAGGGCACCATAAAAAGATTAATATTAGATACTTTTTTTCAAAACCTAACAAAGTCAAAACATCGCATAGTAATCAGGGCCAACACTTTTATGTATCCAGTATATACAACATTGTTGCTGGATTTTTTTGAAACAATTTTTTTGCTTACTCTGTATAAACCTGCATAATTTGTTTACACATCTATAACTTTATCTTGTTTTTTTTAGTGCTTATTTTCATAAATAACTTGTCAATATGTTTTTTTCATCTCTTGCAATTAATCGCTCTCTCAATTCATCTCTCGCATCTCAATTCTGTCGCTTACAACATTGTTGCGGCCCAATATTTAATTATTGTATTTCATAAATTGATAATAAAATATCAATTGACAAATCAGTACATAAGCAACAAGAGTCCTGTAGCGATCATAAAATTCTAAAAAACAACCATATAAATCATTAAACAAGATCAATAAATATGTTGCTTAATTTGTTGAATATTTGTTCAACGAGTATAATTATCAATAATTTTAAAATATCACAATCCAAATTAGCAGTTTAAAATATTTAGCATAAATTAATCATTAAATATTACCTAACTCAACTAACTCTAATTTGTCACTGCTTCT